TGCCATGTTGGCCAGGCTGGTCTCAAACTGCTGACTTCCAGTGATCCACCTGCCTTGGCCTCCCAAAGTGCTGAGATTACAGGCATGAGCCACTGAGCGTGATCCTGTAATTTACATTTCTATCTATCTATCTATCTGTCAATCAATGAATCTATCCGTCTGTCCATCCGTCCATCCATCCACCTACCTATCTATGAATGACAGGGTCTTGCTGTGTTGCCCAGGCTGGAGACAGTGGCACAATCTCGCCTGCTTGCAACCTCTGCCTCCTAGGATCAAGCAGACCTCCTACCTCAACTTCTCAAGTACCTAGGATTACAGGCACACATCACCATGCAGGGCCAATTTTTTTATTTTTGTTGTAGAGTCAGAGTCTCGCTTTGTTACCCAGGCTGGTCTAAAACTTCTGAGCTCAAACAATCCTCCTGCCTCAGCCTTCCAAAGTGTTAGGATTACAGGCGTGAGCCACCACGCCTGGCTAGAACTGTTGAAAACAAACCAGAAAACCAAGAGACCTGTAAACAAATGCTCACAGCAGCTTGATTCACAGTAACTCCAAACTGGAAACAAGCTAGATGTCCTCCAATGGGGTGAACAGTTAAACCATGGTTCCTCCACACCATGGAAATTACTCAGCAATAGAAAGGAATAAACTACTGATGCACCAACAACCTGGATCAATCTCATGAGAATTACCGAGTCCCGAAAGGTTATATGCCATATGATTCATTATGTGACATTCTTTTTTTTTTTTTTAAGATGGAGTCTCGCTCTGTCACCCAGGCTGGAGTGCAGTGGCATGATTTCAGCTCACTACAAGCTTCGCCTCCCGGGTTCACGCCATTCTCTTGCCTCAGCCTCCCGAGTAGCTGGCACTACAGGCACCCGCCACCATGCCCAGCTAATTTTTTGTATTTTTTAGTAGAGACGGGGTTTCACCATGTTGGCCAGGATGGTCTTGATCTCCTGACCTCGTCGTGATCCACCCGCCTCAGCCTCCCAAAGTGCTGGGATTACAGGCGTGAGCCACCTCGCCCGGCCTATGTGACATTCGTAAAATGACAGAAATGGACAACAGATTAATGACTGGAAAATTTTAAAAGGGATGGGAAGGTAGGAGAGAAGTGGGTTTGGCTATAAAAGGCACCATGACAGCTGATTGGTGATGGAAACATTCTGCATCTTGATGGTATCAATGTCAGTCTCCTGACTGTGATATCGTCCTCTAGCTTTGCAAGATGTTACCCTTGGGGAAAAGTGGAAAGAGCGCTGGGGATCTCTGTAGTATTTCCTAAAACTGCATGTGAGGCCAAGGCAGGCAGATCACTTGAAGTCAGGAGTTCGAGACCAGCCTGGCCAACAAGGTGAAACCCCATCTCTACTAAAAATATAAAAATGAGCCAGGCATGGTGCACGTCTGTAATCCCAGCTACTCAGGAGGCTGAGGCAGGAGAATCACTTGGATCCAGGAGACAGAGGTTGCAGAGACCTGAAATTGCACCAGTGTACTCCAGCCTGGGTGACAGAATGAGACTCTGTCTCGAAAACACAAAACAAAACAAAACAAACAAAAAAAACCTACAATTATCCAAAAAATGTTTTAAGTTAATTTTTTTAAAGTACCAAAAGGGAGGCAAATTAGGAGTGATTTTTTGTTTGTTTGTTTGTTTGTTCTGAGACAGGGTCTCACTGTGTTGCCCAGGCTAGAGTACAGTAGTGTGATCATGGCTCACTGAAGCCTCAAACTCCCAGGCTCAAGCAAGCCTCCTACCTCAGCCTTCTGAGTAGCTAGGACTATAGGCATGAACCATGATGCCTGGCTAATTTTTTAAATTTCTGTAGAGACAAGGTCTCACTATGTTTCCCAGGCTGTTCTCGAACTCCTGAGCTCAGGTGATCCTACCCCCCTCAGCTTCCCAAAGTGCTGGGATTACAGGAGTGGGTTACTATGTCTGGCCACCAGTGGTATTTTCAGAACAGGTGATCTGTTCTTCATGTTTTCTGCTCTGCAGCTTTCAGAATCCAAACGTGATAAACATAGCTAAGATATAGAATATATAGAAACTGTCTCTTTTGTTTATTTGCTTGCCTTTTAACTTTTTATTTGGAAGTACTTTCACTTACAGAAAAGTTGTACCCCAAAAACAGTATAAAGAACACCATAACTTTACCCATATTCACTGACGGTTACCAATTTAACCATTTGCTTTATTATAATTTCTTTCTTTTTTTTTTTTTGAGATGGAGTCTCACTCTGTTGCCAAGCTGCAGTGCAGTGGCATGATCTCGGCTCACTGTAACCTCCGCCTCCTGGGTTCAAGCAATTCTCCTGCCTCAGCCTCCTGAGTAGCTGGGACTACAGACATGCACCACCATGCCCAGCTAATTTTTTGTATTTTAGTAGAGACAGGGTTTCACCATGTTGGCCAGGATGGTATCGATCTCCTGACCTCGTAATCTGCCCACCTTGGCCTCCCAAAGTGCTGGTATTACAGGCATGAGCCACTGCACCTAGCCCCTAATTTCTTTCTTTATAGGTATGTATGTATATATGTGTATGTGTGTGTGTGTATTTGAGGGTGAGTTGCATACATCATGGCCCATTCTCCTAAATACTAAACTACGTGTTTGCTGAGAGTGGCGGTGTGCTCTTACATAGCACAGAACACTTCACTTCCATAAATGTATCAGATACACTTCAATCTATGATTCGTATTCAAATTTTGTTAGTTGACCCAATAATGTCCTTGATAGCATTTTTCCTCCTTCAGTACAGGATGCTGTTTTTCAGTACAGAAAACTATGTTGTCTTTTCTCTTTTCATCTGAAACATTTCCACAGCTTTTGTCTTTTATGATACCGACATTTTTATGGAATACCATTTCCAAGCTGTCTTCCTCCCTTTTCAAATAGAACGTAGCAGCTGCCTTAGTACAGACGTAGAGTAACGTATATTATGACAGATATCTGCATAGAAAAATCCACACTTAATAAGAACCTCTAACTCGAGGTATATCCCATGTCCCATCCTAAAGCTGGGTTCTTAAATAGGCTCCCAGGCTCTCTAGCAACTTGCATGCCCTCCATTTTGCCAGTTTGCCAGCTGGAAATGTGTCCAAGGCTTTCCTATTTGGAACTAGAGGTTCCCACAGCTACATTCCTATTCAACACAACAAATAAAAGAAAACTAAAAACATAACTGTTTTGTAAATCCCCAAATAAGAGAGTGAAAAGAACAGCCAACGTCTACCTGATAGCATGACTTTAAGCAACTCAACATAATTCAGACATTCAGCAAACGCCGGTAACCATAAACCAAGTACCTTCTGCAGGCACTGGTTGTAGAACAAATCCTTTTCTGAAGAGACAAAGATGAATGTAACTTAAAGTGACAAGAACACTAAGGGAACAGAAGCAAGCCATTTAAGGGTAAAAATGGAATTTTCTGCTATAAAGTAAAGCTCTGCATAAAAATAAGACGAAACAGGAGATCTAGTAAGAGTTTATTCATAAGACCCCATGCTGAGGATTTCAAGGAGACAGTCACGTTTCTGGGGTAACTGACTATGGGATTGTCCCTCATGGGGCCAAGTAACCTGTCAAAGCAACAAGGCTTCCTACTCAACATGCCCTGTGGCCACCCTGCCAGCCGGAGGGGCTATCTGAAGCCTTGAACAGCTGTCAACATGCCTTGAATCCAACAGGTCCCGATGTGACCTCGGTCTTTTACCTCTGCACAAAGTTACGGCTCATGGTTGTGTTTGGACAGTCTGGTTTGTTTGTTGATCCTTTGGTCTGAAAGACTGTTTTTTTCTTTTTTTGAGATGGGGTCTTGCTCTCTCACCCAGGCTGGAGTGCAGTGGCACGATCTCAGCTCACTGCAACCTCCACCTCCCAGGTTCAAGTGATTCTCCTGCCTCAGCTTCCTGAGTAGCTGGGACTATAGGCGCACGCCACCATACCCGGCTAATTTTTGTATTTTCAGTTTCACCATGTTGGCCAGGCTGGTCTCCAACTGCTGACTTCAGGCGATCCGCCTGCCTCGGCATCCCAATGTGCTGGGATTGCAGGCGTGAGCCACCGCACCCGGTCCAAGGCTGTTTTTTTGTTTTTGATTTTGTTTTTGTTTTTTTAATTACTTGCATTCATCCTGTGGTTTCCATCCCAGCTCATGGCATCCTGCCCAGGGCATCACTCCCTCCCTCCTCACCTCCTGCTACAGCCTCCTCCCTCTCCCTTTTCCAAGGTTCTCACGCACGGCTGCCAGGTTCCTCGCCTGGAGGAGAGCCCCGATCACCTCCTGTGGATGGGCTCTTCTCAAGCATGGCTTCCAAGTACCCGGATTCACAGGTAGGGAAACCGACCAGGGACAGGTATCACCCAAGGCCACACGGCTGCTCAGTGGCTGGCTGGAGCTAAGGTCAAGGTCTTCCTACCCCCAATGCGGTGGAGCCTTTCCCACTTAGCCACCTTGCTTGGCTGGGCCGCACCCCTTCAGGCCCCTCTGCAAACCTCAGAGCCACCTACAGCTTCTGCCTGGGCCCTGAAAGCTGCCCGAGGGGGCCTTTCAGCAGCTAGGTCGGAGCATATCCAGTACCCTAAGAAGCCCCCACTGGTCCTCATCCCATGGCCTTTCACACACAACACAAACCAGAGTCCTCACAATGGCCCCGGCCTCCACAAGACTAGTCCTGCCTCTCCCCTGGGACCTCCTGACCTCCTTCTCCTCCTCTCCAGGACACTGCTCCAGTCACACTTCCTGGCTGCTCCTCCCATGAGCCCACCCTGCCGCCCTCCCTATCAGGATGCTCCCATCCTGATGTCTGCTCCACCTGTTCTCACCTGTTTCCAGCCCTTCCTCATATGCTAGGTCCTGGCCACCACCTCAGGGAGGCCAGCCTGGACCAGCCTCCTGGCACCCTCACCCCTTCTGGCACCCCTGACCCACTTGCCCGCTCTGGGCTTGCTCCTCCTACTGTACCTGGAGGCAGCTAACTCACCAGGCCAGCTGCTCCATCACTCCACTCATGACCTGTCTGTCCCTGCCACAGCATCAGCTCTCACAGACGAGGGTGTCATGGGTTTTGTTCATGATGTGTCTTAGAACAATGCCTGGTACAGAGAAGGAGCTCAATAAATATCTGATGGAGTTTGAACCAGAATGCATGAATCTTCTCTTCATGTCCCCTTGTAGGCCCTGGACCCTGGCCAAAATAGATGACTCGGCATCTGCCAGCCCCACCCCAGGCTTCCTGGACTCTGTACTTTTTTTTTTTCCTTTATGAGACAGAGTCTCACTCTGTTGCCCAGGCTGGAGTGCAGTGGCGCAATCTTGGCTCACTGCAACCTCTGCCTCCTGGGCTCAAGCAATTCTCCTGCCTCACCCTCCCAAGTAGCTGGGATTACAGGCACCTGCCACTGTGCCTGGCTAATTTTTGTATTTTTAGTACAGACGGGGTTTTGCCACGTTGGCCAGGCTGGTCTTGAACTCCTGACCTCAGGTGATCCGCCTGTCTCGGCCTCCCAAACTGCTGGGATTACAGGTATGAGCCATTGCACCAGGCCCTGGCCTCTGTACTTTATCCTACTTCTTTCTGCCAGGAATGCATCCCCATTCTACACATTTGGGGGGCGGTACAGATGCCTTTCCTCCTCAAAGTGCTCAGGATCCCTCCAGGGGAATGACTTCGTCTCTCCTCTGAATCACCACAGCTCTCATTGTGGGTATTGATATATGCCTTTTCTGCTCAACTGACCTGTACCGCTTGGAGGAAGAATTCTTGTCTGTCATCTTCCTCTCCTACACAAAGCAGATGTTCAGTGAAAATTTACAGAATGAATCTGACATTGGTGCTAAATTCCAAACATTGTTCCCTGTCTTACAAAAACTCAAATCAGGACCAGTGCAGTGGCTCACGCCTGTAATCCCAGCACTTTGGGAGGCTGAGACAGGCTGATCCCTTGAGTCCAGGAGTTTGAGACCAGCCTGGGTGATATGACAAAACCCTGTTTCTACAAAAAAAAAAAAAAAAAAAATTAGCCGGGCGTGGTTGTGCATACCTGTGGTCCCAGCTGCTTAGGAAGCTGAGGTAGGTGAATCACTCAAGGCCAGGAGTGAGCCAAAATCATGCCACTGCACTCCAGCCTGGGTGACAGAGTAAGACCCTGTCTCAACAAAACAAAACAACTCCCACCCCCCTGCCACCAAAAACACACTTAAATCATTTTAAGTAACGAACCTATGAAAAGAGCCTGTATATAGTACAAGTATTTAAAGGACAAGGCTGGTTGCAGAACAAATGTTTTTCTAAAAAAAAAAAAAACAAAGATGAATGCAACTTAAAGTGATGAGAATGCTAATGGAACAGAAGCAAGCTGTTTAAGAGAAAAACTGAATTTTCTTGTTAAAAAGTAAAGTTCCTGAAGTGCATCCCGTGACAGCCTGGGAGAGAGTGCATTGAACAGTTTTTGGGCCATTTAAATTGTCGGTAAGTCAGCTCTGGAAAGTCCACATCATTCAAGCAAACATAATCAGGATGCCTACATGTGCTCGGTGTCAGATGTCAGTATCCCTTGTGTGACACATAAGGCCTTTCTTAAGACGACTGACACCTTCCCAATACTGAGTTGTACCTTCCATGAACATAGTATATCCATCTATTTATTTGGGCTATATTTAAGCTCTCTTAATAACATAATCAGTTTTCTGAGTAGTAGACCTTACGTATCTTTTTCAGATTTATTCCTAGATATAGATACATTATAAATGTAACTTTTAATTAATAAACTTTCTTATTTAGAGCAGTTTTGGGCTTACAGAAAAATTGAGTGGAAAGTACAAAGAAGTCTCATATACCACCTCACTCCCACCAGTTTCCCTGTTATTAACATCTTGCATTGGTGAGGTCATTTGTTGCCATTGATGAGCCAATACTGACATATTATTGCTAACTGAAGTCCACAGTTTTCATTTTCACTCTTTGTGTTGTACATTTTATGAGTATTGACAAATGCCTAATAACACGTATTCATCATTATAGTACCATACAGAATAGTTTCACTGCCCTAAAAATGCCCTGTGTTCCACCTACTCATTCCTCTTTCCCTCCCCATGAGCCCCTGGCAACCACTGACACATCTTTTAACTGTCTCCATAGTTTTGCCTTTCCCATAATGTCTAGCGCTGGAAGCAGACAGTATATAGCTTTTTCACTTTGAGTTCTTTCAGGTATATAATATTTTTGATAATAAGTGGTATTATTTGCCAAAATGTTTTCCAAACTGGCCGCTATCATGTTACATTCCCATCGGCAGTGTATGAGAGTTCTTATTCCACATTCTTATGCATATGTGGTCAGACTGCTAAATTACAGCCAGTATTGTGGGTGTGTAGTGATATCTTTCTACTTAAGAGAGATGTCGATTAACTTGCATCTCCCTAATGACTAATGAGGGAAAGGCACACGAACATCTTTTCATGTGCTTGCTTACCATCCATTCAAACGGACATGCCCTTTGTTGAAGAGTTAGTTCATCTTTTGCCCCTTTTTAATTGGGCTGCTTGACATCTTATTGAATTATAATAGTTCTTTATATAACCCATATCCAAGTCCTTTGTCAGATATATGTTTTGCAAATATTTTCTCTAAGTCTATGGCTTGACTTTTCATTTTATTAAGTGTTTTCTGATGAGTAAACGTTTCTAATTTTGAGGATGGCTAATTTATTCATTTTTTCTTTTATAGTTTATGCTTTCTTCTTCAAGCGACTGAGTCTTACTCTGTGGCCCAGGCTGGAGTGCAGTGGCATGGTCATAATTCACTGCAAGCTTCAACTCCTGGGCTCAAGTCATCCTCCTGCCACAACCTCCTGAGTAGCTAGGACTACAGACATGTGCCACTGTGCCTGGCACAGTTTTTTCTTTTTTTTTATAGAGACCCACTCATATTGCCCAAGCTGCTCTTGGACTCCTGGCCTCAAGCTATCCTCCCACCTCAGTCCCTCAAAGCATTGAGATGACAGGTGTAAGCCAGCATACCTGGCCTGGTTAATGCTTTTTAAATCATGTTTAAGAAATCTTTGCCAAACTCCAAATCACAAGAATTTTCCCATATTTTTCCTTCTGGAGGTTTTATAGTTTTAACTCTTTTTTTTTAACATAGGGTCTCACTTTGTCACCCAGTCTGGAGTGCAGTGGTACAATCATGGCTCACTGTAGCCTTGACCTCTCTGGGCTCAGGTGATCCTGCCGCCTCAGACTCTTGTGTAGCTGGGACTATAGGTGAGTGCCATCAAGCTCAGCTAATTTTTTGATTTTCTTGTAGAGATGGTGTTTTGCTATGTTGCCCATGCTGGTCTTGAACTCCTGGACCCAAGTGATCCACCCACCTTGGCCTCTCAAAGTGCAGGATTACAGGCATAAGCCACTGCACCTGGCCAGTTTTAACTCTTACAATTAGGTGTATGACACATTTCAATAGTAATTATTATATGACAATATAATACACTATCATATAATACGATATATATTACATAATATATATTATATATACTATTACATAATAGTATAATATAATGATAATAATTATGAATTCGTAGTGCTGTGAACTGAGGGTTAAGGTTCTTTTTTTTTGTTTTTTTTTTGGATGGAGTCTCACTCTGTCGCCCACACCAGAGTGCAGTGGTGCGATCTCGGCTCACTGCAAGCTCTGCCTCCTGGGTTCATGCCATTCTCCTGCCTCAGCCTCCTGAGTAGCTGGGACTACAGGCGCCCACCACCATGCCTGGCTAATTTTTTTGTATTTTTAGTAGAGACGGGGTTTCACCGTGTTAGCCAGGATGGTCTCGATCTCCTCACCTCGTGATCCACCCGCCTCGGCTTCCCAAAGTGCTGGGATGACAGGCGTAAGCCACCGCGCGCAGCCAGGTTGAGGTTCTTTTGCATATGGCTATCCAGTTGTTCCAGTATCATTTGTTGAAAAGATCATCTTTTCCCCACTTAAATGACTTGGCACTTTGCTGAAAATCAATTGACCCTGTATGTGTGGATCTATTTCTGGACTTGCTATTCTGTTCCATTCATCTAATTGTCTATTTTCATATCAATACCATACTGTCTTGATTACTGTAGCTTTATAATAATTCTTTAAATCATGTAGTCTAAGTCCTTCAATTGTGTTGTTCTTTTTCAAAGTTATTTTAGCAACTCAAGGTCCTTTGCATTTCCATATAAACTTTAGAACAGGTTATCAAATTCTACAAGTAGGCATGCTGAGGTCTGATTGTGATTGCTTTGAATCTCTAGATCATTTTGGGAAGAATCGCCCTCCTAATGATACTGAGTCTTCTGATCCAAGAGCATGTTATAACTTGCCATTTATTTAGGTCTTTTAAAATTTCTCTCAGTAGTGTTTTGTAGATTCCAGTGTACAGGCCTCGCATATTTTATCTCTGAGCATTTCATAATTTTCATGTTTACTTTTTTTTTTTTTGAGATGGTAGTCTTGCTGTGTCACCCAGGCTGGAGTGCAGTGGCACAATCTCAGCTCACTGCAAGCTCTGCCTCCTGGGTTCAAGAGATTCTCCTGTCTCAGCCTCCCCAGTAGCTGGGATTACAGGCACCCACCACCACAACCAGCTAAGTTTTGTATTTTTAATAGAGATGGGGTTTCACCATGTTGGCCAGACTGGTCTTAAACTCCTAACCCCAAATGATCCACCTGCCTCGGCCTCCCAAAGTGCTAGGATTACAGGTATGAGCCACTGCACCCGGCCTGGTATATCCACTTTTTATAAAATGCCATGTGGGTTTATCACTGAGAGACAAGGAGGAGACACAACCACACGCTTTGCAGTCTGTACATGAAACTGACCGACAGATGCTCAGGGACCAATCACAGACCGACTTTGAGAGACATGATGCAACGGGTCAGTGATCATCATGCACATCTGTTGTCTATACTGTGATTTGTAGGATGAAGAACTGGCGGCAGAGCTTGTACTTCATACAGCACTCACAGTGCACACACCACGGGAGCTGGGATCTGATGCGTATTGTTGGGAGACCACTATAATTTAACTAAACGGTGACAATTAATTTTTTTATTTTTAAA